TTCCATTGGACCGCCAGAAGATGCAGTTAGGTATTCTAGCCAATTGTTACAGCCCGACCCTATGACAGTCGCTGCAGCCCGGACCTGTGACAGTCGCGGCAGCCCCGACCTGTTTCTTTGACACGACTCGCGGCCGCCTCCAATCTTAGCTCTCGACTGTCTTGATTACCACCTCCAGTATCCCGTTCCGTTCGTAGCTCTCGTGTTCTCTCTCTATCCCAAGAATCCCTGTGTCTAAGTAACCTCTCCTTCGGGATCGGTCAACAAGGTCGTCTCTGTCCGGATCCTCAGCACGACCGTGACATGACCTCTATCCTTGAGACAGATTGAAATCCCAAACCTAGCCAAAGTCTCCCAATCAACACTCCTCAAGAGTCCCTGAGCGTCTCTCTCCGTCCTCCTTGCTAGCTCTCCTAGCCCAGTCTGAATCGGTTAGCCCGCTAAAGGCCCTCCTACTGTCGCCCAATGCCGCCCATCGACCTTTCTAGCTTTCTCTATCCTTCCAAGAGCTTTCAATTTCTATTTCCACTACCTTATCTCCTCAACGGTTACGAGGTCATCTGTCTAACAGCTGAGGTAAGTTAGTGCTATAACGACTTGTAACCTCATCGCCGACCGCTCCAATATGTCATAAAATGTCTCAAAGTCATCATTATCTCCTCCTTCGTCTATCGCCTCTAAAGTCTTTATCGTTTCTTTCTAGTACCGGTTGTGAGCGGCTAACACCCTGAGTATTGCACCATCTGTTACAACTCTCCCTAACTCTCCAGCTTTCCTGGCTTCGCTTATCTTCAACCTCTCAGCCTCTCTGGTCGTCTCGTACCATGCCCTTATCCGAGACCGCCCTTCGAAGGGTGTTACTCGGAGTACGTATTTTATCCTCCGTCCTCCGTCTATTCCAATCCAAAGTCCTATCCCCCTTGCCTCACGCAGGGCACGGCGGAAACACTCTGCCTCCTCAACTATGCACAATCTGGTATGGAGCTGGAGTTCTATGATCACTAACACTAATGGTCCGTCCAGTCTCCCTACCACATGTAATGAGTACCGATCCGTCGTGTGTAGTGCAGTCCCGCTCATGTCCTGTCGCTACTCCCCTGCGTTACTTTGTCTTCCGTTGTCTCGCTCTCTGCAGATCACTTACTAGTTTCTTCGTGTGATACGCTTCTAGCCTTTACCTTCTCCAAAAAGTCTGATCTCCACACCTGGATAATCCCTCTCTCCTCCCTAAACAGACTCTCTAACTCTCTCGTCACGAGTTCAGCCCTTCGCAACTTGCCCTCGTCTTGACACGACCAGATCTCCCTTAACTTGTCCCCCAACTTCTTTACCTGGTTCAAGAGTGGTTCTTTAACGCGCTTTCTCACTCTTCCGACCGCCTCACTCTCCTCCTCCATACTCAGTCCACATCTTTCTCCATCTCACCCTCTCACCCTCGCTCTAGCCTCTGCTACCGTCTCATCGTGGTAGTGCTCCGCGCGCATATAACCATGAGACCATATCATCACATCATAGGAAATCGAGGTCTGGAAGGTCACTCGCGCCAGTACATCACCTCTACGCTCGTGGATCAAATCCCTAGCTCGTTGTCTGCACTCACTCGCCGTCAAGTCCTCGTCTACGTACGCTCGGAGAAGTATTGTGACAGTGTATCCTGTGCTTGCCAGTTGCTCTTCTACACGCATCACCGTGGCCGTCCCTCCCGGCATTCCCTAAGCTGCGACCTCGAAGAGAAATCTCGCATCCTTTAGCCCCGCGTAATCGATCTCTGCACGTCTCCTGCAGTACCTAATCAGATCGATAGGCCTCAGACAGTCCACCCAGCTCGTAACATCTATGATGTCTTCAAGCGTCTCTCTACTGGGCGGCCCCCACCTCACACAGATGGCGTAGTATACTTCCTTGAAGCGGGGCGCTAAGCCCTCCCAGAGCGCGTAAAGTGTGTGATCCACTGCTCTCCTCAAACGATCCACGCTCCCATAGGTCTGCCCTATCACGAAGGTAGGAACTCCGAATCGCCAATCCTTTCTCRGGTAGAGGGTCAGATGTGGTGGACCGTAYACCATGCAGCTCAAACTCGTCCTCCCTCYARAGAGTCTCGCCAATKGCTGATTAACGATCACTSTGGCCAACAACTCGGTTCTCCACCAACTCCTGCTCGCCCCTGCGAGCGTTAGCCCTATCTCTAAATTGTGTGTTCTATCMGCTATTRGATGTCCGACCCCTTCTARATCATGAGTCCTCTCGGGTCGTTCGTCTCGTAGTATCACTGTCCATAGGAAGAGCCCCTCAGCGAGCCACGTTCCCAAGTATCGTATCGGTGCACGCCCTTCCTCTTCTAACGCCACAGGAAGTGGTATGTCGTATCCAACCGCCGTTTCTCTAGGTCCCACAAGCTTCCTCACACTATACGATTCGGACTCTCGTGAGAAAACATAAGCTAACCAGGCCGTAGAATCACTCCTCATTTCTTCTCCTATTTTCGGTCAGCATCACTCTACTTCYTCCGATACACCCCATCTCTCGACGTTGCTGACCCTTCTGACAACTCTCGCGCTCAGGTCCAGTATGGTCGAATGGGTTCAGTAGCCAGRCTCACYCAACCGTCGCCCTRGTGCGCTCCTCTACCTCCTACGCCCGGACCGCTACTCCTATCCTGGGAAAATGGGCGTCTATAACGTCAATCTCCTCCTCGTCAACCTCACTCTCTGGGTCGACCCAGTCTGGTTCCCACAGCTCCTCGTCGTCCTCTCGCTCCCAACCCTYRTCGTCAAACTCGTCCTYGACGCGGTATGGCGCCTGTCCTATGRCCTGGTAGTATTCCGTCAACWRATGGYCGTATATCAGAGGTCGCCYGGGGTCCTCACTCCACCAGCYCCYCCAGTCGTCTGAGAAGAGSCGCCCGATGCAMGTCACGTACTCGGGGCCTGCTCGGAGCTCACGGTCTAGCCAATCCCAAACGCACGAAGGCTGGGGCCACTCGTCGTCTATTGAGCGGATCAGCTCTATAAGCTGAACCCTCTCGTCTCCCCAACGAGGCCCACCGGTCGCAAGCRAATAATAGATGTAGTCTAGGTCGGCAGGCCTTCTCGCTAGGATCTTGAGATCCTGATAGGCYAGGTATGTCTCGACCACTCCACCAATACCTCCAAAGACGCTCTCTACTACGAACGTCGGAACAAWYGYCCGCAGGCTCCTAACSCTGTATGGGAAAAACCCGTCCCGTGCTACCACCAGCTCGCCCGTGATATCAAGAGGAGGGCGTCCGTGAAATAGGGTCAACGGGTCGCTCGCGTCCTCCKCTCRGAAGGCAGCTACCTCTTCCCCTAGGTAGYGTAGCGCCCTGCTAACTGCGTCACTAGTCYCTATCGTCRCGAGGCCCACCACGGCCTCCCTGACCGCACCCGGTCCCAAATACAAGTAGGCTCTCACTACTCCACTCCTTGCCCCGGCCGGTGCTCTCTGTACATCCAAAGCCACACGTCCTCGGACAGGATTATGGACCTCCACGCAAACTGGCCGTCAACGTGTCGAATGCTGCGTCCGGGGATCGTGAGCTCGACCAGATCCCCCTCTATAAGTGCAGGGGGCTCTAAGTCCCAGTCAATGGTAGCCCCATAGACCTCTACTTGCCCCTGTGGCCACATTCAACTGGCGGCTAGAGAGAGCGGGGCAAACGGAAGGTGTAGATTAATAACTGAAATTTCGCGTCGCTTGCCTCACGCCTTCGAGAACAAGCTAGTAGGATCACCTGAAATCAGGTTACCGCAACGTCTCTTTCCCTTCTCCTTCTAGGGAATTCTTTTGTATTTTTCAATTACAAATTAAAGATAATGTATTTAGTTAAGATAAAATTTATTTCTTAGTTTATATATTTTAAGGATCAATACGTATACAAGCCCGCCGAGCTTGATGCTTTTTAGGGGTAGAAAAAAAAAACTGGGAATTTTACTAAAATTTCGGCAGCGTTTCGCCTCCCCCCGTTGGGATGGGGTTCGGGACTATTGTCCCTAGACAAA